CAGGACTTTGAGTTTAATGTATGTGTTGCTATTGTTATCGCTGTTTTAATCAAACAACCAGTAGTAATAGTTATACAATGGGAGGCTTTCTCCTTAAAATGATGGATAGGATAAAAATACCCAAGAAAAATTGTCCCTAAGACCTAAAGGTTTTGGTGATAGGTGATTTAAAATGATTTACCAATGTGGTTCTAGTTATTATTGTTGAATAACAAACTAGCCCCCAAACTCAGTGGCACAATATAACTACCTCATTATATTCACAGATTCTGTGGGTCAGGAATCCAGACAGGAAATAGCAGAAATGGCTCCTTGATGTCTGGGGCCTCACAGTCCAACTCTGGGGGTTTCTCAATGGCTTGGGGGCTAGAATCATCTGGAGGCTTTTTCTCTCATATGTTTGACAGTCGATCAGACCTCAGCTGAGCTCTCAGCTTAAACACCTGCATATGGCCTCTCCATGGGGCCTGGTTTGTGTTAGGTTCTAAGAGCAAGCGTAGAACATGGTGAATATGAAGGGCATTTGCTAATCTAGGCTCAAAATTCACATAGCATCACTTCTGCTCTATTGAGGAAGCCACAAAATTCTGCCAAGCTTTAAGTGGAAGGGACGTAGACCCCATGACTCACTGAAGGAATATCTGGTTCACACATGGGATGAAGGATGGTGTGGCTGTCTTTGGAAAACACAGCCTATCACAAAGGCCCATTCCTTTTTTAATGATTCAATGTCTGGGGTCATCATAACTAGCATCCTTCTTGGCACTAGACCCTCACCTCATTGGCATCATCCTGGACACGAGGAGAGACCTCCGACAGAACTCATTCTAAAAGAGAATGCTGGGCTGGAGACTGAGTAGCGGGAATCCCAGATCCAGGTCTGCCGTAACTCGCTGAACCTTAGCTCCTCAAATACAAAGTTTTAGGGGTCTAAGATATTAAGATCACTGCTCTTATTATTAGGGAAAGAAACTTGCTCCTTGGGCATTAAGCTAGATTCCCAAACCCCAGCCAAGGTGGTCTTTATACCAATTGTTTCATGCCATCTTTCTAAAAGAACATCTCCTTGCTCTGGCCCTGGTGAGAGCAGTTCTATGTGCTTCTTGACCCACCTCCCCACCCACTACCAGTACAGCTACTTGTACGAGGGAATCTGGAATTGCCAATGAGAGGCAAATTAGGTGGGGCTCAGTGTTGGAGTGGGTGGTGTGTTGAGCCATTTCCTACCATATGCCACTGATGCTAGAAGGCTGCTTTGCAGAAAGACAGAAGTAAGGCCTTTGTGAAGACACAGAGTCCATGGTGTGTGTGTGTGTGTGTGTGTGTGTGTGTGTGTGTGTAGAGCAATCACCTGGGTGAGAGAAAAGGTGAGAGCACAACAGTGAGGAAGGTGGGGTGAGTGACATTGCTCATGATTTCAGCCTCTTGTAACACCTGCTGTGCTTCATCCACTTTAGTTCTAAGACATCCCTGCCATTTCCAGAGAATTTCCCATTTACTTGAGATGTATAAATGAGATTCTATCCTTTTCAACAAATCATCCCTGACCAAGATGCATATTCTAACCTCATATACAGTGAACTTGATATTATAATCCAGATAACACTCATCCAACTCAGAAAAATTCTCCACCCAATCCTCACCAGTCACAGCCTGGTGCCCACATTGTAAAATCCTTGATGCGTCTCAGCCTGCAATTTATTGTTCTTTGAAGATATAGAAAACAGAAGACAAGTTGTAAATATTTGGTCCTTTAACAAATCTTAGAGAGAGTTTAAAGACCAACCTCCTCATATTTCAGAGAAGGAAACTGCGTGTAGAGAGGGGAAGTGACTTGCCCAAGGTTGTCTATTAGTTAATGGTGGAGCTCAGATGAAAATCAGGTCTCATTGTCATTTCAGCCCCTGCCTGACTTCAAATCAGCTACAGCTACCAGGGAGAAAGCAGTTGATTGAGCAATCAGATTTATGTTTTGCATTTACATTGGTATTCTCTACACCTCTATTTGTTCTCATGGGAGTCAGAATCCATAGTGAGATGTTAACTGCCAGCAGCGATAGACAGATTGGTTATCACCCTGATGCGGGGAGTGGGGAGCAGTGAGAGTGGGGAGAATAGAATAATTTCATTTTAGGGGTCAAATTAAATTTGTGCAAGCGTAGCATGCTTCTGAAAACTCTAGCAACACAGCCTAGGTTCTAACATGCACCAACATTGAAATCACTTGTGGACCTTCCCAGTGAGGGAAGGGAATTGATAATAATGTCACTTTGAGGCCACTTCTATTTCCATGACTCTTGATTATATTGCACCAAAAAGGCAAAAATGTTTCTTTTCAACCTTTTATTCTGGAATATTTTAAACACATATAAAAATGGGCAAATTAGTGTAATGGATCTCCAGATGATTTTTTAAAAGCTTTATTGATGTATAATCAATGTGCAATAACTTTTGCACATATTTAAAGTGTACAATTAGAAAAGTTTTGACATACACACAATTGTGAAACCAGCAATAGTCACGATAATGAACATGTTTGTTACCCTCCCCCTCACATTTTCTCAGATCCCTTTGTAATCTCTTTCTCTGGCAACTCCCTATGGTCTCTTTTCCTCTTCGGTATCCCTCTTCTCCCTGTCTGCAGGTAACTGCGATCTGCTCTCTGTCACTGTAAGTTAGCTTACATTTTAAAGAGGTGGATATAAATGGAATCATATAGTGTGTACTCATTTTAATGTCTGATTTATTTCACCAAGCATAGTTATTTTGAGATTCATCCGTGTCGTTTCATGTGCCTGGCTCATTTCTTGTTTACTGATGAGTAGTATTCCATTGTATGAATATGCCAAAGTGTGTTTGTGCATTTACCTACTGATGATCATTTGCATTGTTTCCAGGTTTTGGCTACTAAAGTTGCTATGAATATTTGAGCATAAGTCTTTGTGGGGATGTATGGTTTCTTTTCTCTTGGGTAAATACGGGAGTGGAATAACTGAATCACATGTTAAGAATATGTGTAACTTTTTAAGAAACTGCCAAACTGTCTTCCAAAGTGATGATACTGGCCAGGCATGGTGGCTCATGCCTATAATCCCAGCACTTTGGGAGGCAGAGGTGGGCGGATCACCCGAGGTCAGGGGTTCAAGACCAGCCTGGCCGACATGGTAAAACCTCGTCTCCACTAAAAATAAAAAATTAGCTGGACATGGTGGCTGGCGCCTGTAATTCCAGCTACTTGGGAGGCTGAGACAGGAGAATCGCTTGAACCTAGGAGGCAGAGGTTACAGTGAGCCAAGATTGTGCCACTGCACTCCAGCCTGGGCGACAGAGTGACTGTCTCAAAAAATCAAACAAACAAACAAAAAACCCCAAAGTGATGATACCATTTTACAGTCCCAATGAATGAGTTCCTCGATATTCTCACCAACATTTGGTATCATCAGCTTTTAAAATTTTAGCCATTCTAATGGGTACATACTGTTAATTCATTGTGATACTTATTTTCAGTTTCATAATGATGAATCATGCTGAATATTTTTCTATGTGTTTATCTGACATTCATATATCTTCTTTTATAAATCATGTATTCAAATCTTTTGCCCATTTAATTTTTTTTTTTACTGTTTACTTTTAATTGCTATAGATTTGGATTCAATTATTTATCAGATACATACTTTGCAAATATTTCTACCAGTCTGTGGCTTGTATTTTATTATCTTAATTGTGTCCTTTGAAGAGAAAGAATTTTAATTTTAATAAAGTTTAATTTATTACTTTTTTCTCTTATGAATCATAATTTTGATATTATATTTAAGATATCTTTGCCTAACTCAAAATCATGAAGATTTTTTGCTATGTCTTATTTTGTAATTTGTATCATGTTAGATTTTCCATTTAGGTTCAGAATTCATTTTAATTCATTCTTGTGTATAGTAAAAAGTATGGATTAAAATATATCTTCCTAGCATATCCAATCATTCCAATACCATTTGTTGGCAAGACTATTCTTTCTCCAGTGAATTGACTTTGCACTTCAAAAAATGACCTTGGGAGGGTCAAGGAGAAGATTATATTCGATCATTACTTTATTTTATTTATTTATTTATTTTTTATGAGACGGAGTTTCACTCTTGTTACCCAGGCTGGAGTGCAATGGCATGAGCTCGGCTCACTGCAACCTCCGCCTCTTGGGTTCAGGCAATTCTGCCTCAGCCTCCTGAGTAGTTGGGATTACAAGCACGTGCTTCCATGCCCAGCTAATTTTTTGTATTTTTAGTAGAGACGGGGTTTCACCATGTTGACCAGGATGGTCTCGATCTCTTGACCTCGTGATCCACCCACCTCGGACTCCCAAAGTGCTGGGATTACAGGCTTGAGCCACCGTGCCCGGCTCGATCATTACTTTAAAGAATAACTTGGATTGTAACATTCGGGTGAAAGGAAAAGTCAATGGCCAGATTAGATAGTGCAGGATTCACAGGGCAATACTGTTCAGATTCATCTCCTTTCACATCCCCAACTCCAAATGCCTTGATATAAGACCAACTAAACCAAATGGTAGCTTGTGTTCTGTAGGAAACATGCTCTCTCTAAGGTGGAAGACTTAGCAGTCCTATTCCTTCTACCTGGAATCGCCTTTTTACTTCCCTCAACTATACTTTCCTCAGCTATTCTGAATAGTCTCTTGGGACTTAGCTTTTGAGAAGCATTCATCAAACCCAACTCTGTGTACCCATAAGACATGCTGCTAACTAGTTTTGGTTACATAACTTTCAGGAGCTAGTGTGAAATAAAATGGCAGGCCCTTGTTCAATAGTAGGGGAAGAAGTCTATTAAAGATACTAAAATACAAAACGTTATCCTTTCTTCCATGATCTCTCTCTTGACTTGTATATTTATTTGCTATTTATTTTCTATTTAATGTCATCCTGAGTTTGCTCCTTTCTGCCCGTGGATGCCGCCGAAGAGGCATCGTTAAAGTCTCTCTTCTCCCTGTGATCATGTCTAAGTCAGAGTCTCCTAAAGAGCCAGAACAGCTGAGGAAGCTCTTCATTGGAGGGTTGAGCTTTGAAACAACCGATGAGAGCCTGAGGAGCCATTCTGAGCAATGGGGAATGCTCACAGACTGTGTGGTAATGAGAGATCCAAACACCAAGCGCTGCAGGGGCTTTGGGTTCATCACGTACACATCTGTGGAGGAGGTGGATGCAGCCTTGAATGCAAGGCCACACAATGTGGATGGAAGAGTTGTGGAACCAAAGAGAGCTGTCTCAAGAGAAGATTCTCAAAGACCAGGTGCCCACTTAACTGTGAAAAAGATATTCGTTGGTGGCATTAAAGAAGACACTGAAGAACATCACCTAAGAGATTATTTTGAACAGTATGGAAAAATTGAAGTGATTGAAATCATGACTGACAGAGGCAGTGGCAAGAAAAGGGGCTTTGCCTTTGTAACCTTTGATGACCATGACTCCGTGGATAAGATTGTCATTCAGAAATTTCATACTGTGAATGGCCACAACTGTGAAGTTAGGAAAGCCCTGTCAAAGCAAGAGATGGCTAGTGCTTCATCCAGCCAAAGAGATCAAAGTGGTTCTGGAAACTTTGGTGGTGGTCGTGGAGGTGGTTTTGGTGGGAATGACAACTTTGGTTGTGGAGGAAACTTCAGTGGTCGTGGTGGCTTTGGTGGCAGCCATGGTGGTGGTGGATATGGTGGCAGTGGGAATGGCTATGATAGATTTGGTAATGATGGTGATTATGGAGGAGGCGGCCCTGGTTACTCTGGAGGAAGCAGAGGCTATGGAAGTGGTGGTCAGGGTTATGGAAACCAGGGCAGTGGCCATGGTGGGAGTGGCAGCTATGACAGCTATAACAATGGAGGCGGAGGTGGTTTTGGCGGTGGTAGTGGAGGCAATTTTGGAGGTGGAGGTGGTGGAAGCTACAATGATTTTGGCAGTTACAGCAATCAGTCTTCAAATTTTGGACCCATGAAGGGAGGAAACTGGAGGCAGAAGCTCTGGCCCCTATGGTGGTGGCGGCCAATACTTTGCCAAACCAAGAAACCAAGGTGGCTATGGTGGTTCCAGTAGCAGCAGTAGCTATGGCGGTGGCAGAAGATTTTAATTAGGAAACAAAGCTTAGCAGGAGAGGAGAGCCAGAGAAGTGACGGGGAAGCTACAGGTTACAACAGATTTGTGAACTCAGCCAAGCACAGTGGCGGCAGGGCCCAGCTGCTACAAAGAAGACATGATTTAGACAAATACTCATGCGTATGGGCAAAAAACTCGAGGACTGTATTTGCGACTAATTGTATAACAGGTTATTTTAGTTTCTGTTCTGTGGAAAATGTCATCCTAAGTAAAGAAAAAATAAAATGTTAAATTGTTAGCATGAATTTTACCATTCACCTCTATACTGTGAAATGCCAGTTTAGTTAAGAGCATTAATCTCATACGTAGAATTAGCTAAATAACAGAATTCTTGTTTCATAGCTTGTACATGCAATATTTTGTTCTTCCCAGACAGTGAAAAATATGCACAAAACTAACTTAACGTTTTAAAATTTCATTTATTGATGAAGAAATATTTCACCAGTACTTTCTACCTCCAGCTTACTGATGAGTAAGGAAGGAATAAACAAAAAGGACTGTGAGTTGCCCTATGTTTTCCTTTCTTTCTGTGTCATCATTTTAAACATAAATGGTTGGCTAATATGAGAAAGTAATACAAACTTTAAAAAAAGAATATAATAGTGTTTCTTGGTCATACATGTTTGTTAGAATACCATTGTTTTCCTTCTGTGTTTGAAACAAGTTCTGGTTTGAACATTAAGTGTGGCCTCTTGGGCTGTCAGCTGTCCCTCTCCCCTCTAAAGCACATAAGGAAGTAACTCTGTTACCTTGTACTCATTTTAGCCTCACTGAGCTCTCATGCACTGTGGGTCCACTGGAATTATTTGGTTACAGAGCATCGTAAATGCTACCTGCAAATTGTGTGGCAAGAAACAGTGAACACGCGTGTCACATGTATCTCCTCTGGTAAAACACATGCTCTTTTATGAAATGCGAGTTTGAAGAGAAAATTACTAAGATTTTCAAGGCAATAACTGCATATAACCAGGGTCCTTCTTAGTGTGGAGTCCTTTTTGACTGCACAGATGGCATACCTGTTACACCAGCTCTGGTGCTAACTCGAATAATTTATCACTGTATCATAAATGCCAGATGTCATGGTTGAGTTGTTAGGAAGCTGTATGAGTCAGGATTCTCCAGGGAAACAGAACAAATAGGACACACACACACACACACACACACACACACACACACACACACACACAGAAAAGAGAGAGAGTGCAGAGATGCAGGGGGTAGATTTTTTTCCAAGGAATGTGCTCATGTGATTGTGGGGGCTGGGGCTTGCAAGTTTAAAATCTGCAGAGCAGGCCAACAGGTTGGAGACCCAGGGAAGAGTTGATTTTGCAGTCTTAAGGCTGAAGGCAATCTAGAGGTAGAATTCTTTCTTCCTTGGGAAACTTCAGCCTTTTTTTTGTAAAGCCTTCAACTGGTTGTATGAACCCACTCATATTATGGAGGGTAATCTGCTTTATTCAAATTCTACCATCTTAAATGTTAATCACTTAAAAAATACCTTCACAGCAACATTTAGACTGATGTTTGACCCAAAACTGGCAACCATAACCTAGACAAATTGACACATAAAATTAAGTATTATAGAAGTAGGCTGTGAGGCCAGGCGCCGTGGCTCAAACTTGTAATCCCAGCACTTTGGGAGGCCGAGGCGGGTGCATCACAAGGTCGAGAGATCGAGACCATCCTGGTCAACATGGTGAAACCCCGTCTCTACTAAAAATACAAAAAATTAGCTGGGCATGGTGGCACGTGCCTGTAATCCCAGCTACTCAGGAGGCTGAGGCAGGAGAATTGCCTGAGCCCAGGAGGCGGAGCTTGCGGTGAGCCGAGATCGCGCCATTGCACTCCAGCCTGGGTAACAAGAGCGAAACTCCGTCTCAAAAAAAAAAAAAAAAAAAGAAGTAGGCTGTGAGATAGATATCAGTGTGTAAAAAGTTTATTAAGGAGTTCTCCAGGGCCAATATTTGAGGAAGGGAAAGGAAGAGAAGGGAGCAGTATTGGGCAGAGGGGAAGCTGAGCTGCGATGCAGTCCCAATGTCAGCCAGATCTACGAGGAATTCTGCAGAGAAGTGACAGTTCACATTTGTCCCAGTTGGGGGAAAAGGACTGGGCCTTTTTATGGGCATTTCAATCAGTTATTGGATATGAATTCCCCATATCCAGAAAAAGAGTGTGGCCTTGGGCAAGGTGACTTTCTTCAGCCCAGGCATTCCCTCTAAGACGCTCATAGCACTTCCAGCATGTGGGGGAATAAGACCTTTCACACCAGAGAGGGATCAGAGTGCCATATCACAGCATGTGCCACTCTGAGCCTCCCCTTCTGGTTATCTTTCCCAGACCTACATGAGCATCAGGATCTTAGTATGTTTTCTCTGTACTTCTTACACACAGCCCATTGTCTGGCACATAGTAGGCACTCAACAAACCTTTGTTGAATTAATCAACAAAGATACTGAGCAAAAACTAATTTTCTCTCAAAAAAAGCAGATTCTGATAAAGATCCGAATGGCCATGAATCCTTATGGAGCTTTTCACAATTCCTGCAGCTCTTCCACATTTATCCCATTTAAACTTCACAACAACCTCCTGAAGTAGGAATGACTGTTCTTATCTTTCTAGATAAAGAAACTGATGTTCAGAGAACTAAGCTGTTTCTCCTAGAGTTACAGAGTTAATGAATGGGTTTTTCAGGATTTTGTTTGCTACAGCTTAGAGTGATCGCATTATGTTGCCTAAATGTGCCCCATCCTTTTTACCTAAAACATGGCCATCATGGTCATGCTGTAAGGATCCAGTGAATAACAAATACTCTACCTTTGTTTAGCTGCCTGAAGGATGCTGCTGACCTGTTCTTCCAGTACCAGCATGAATTAAGGGAGATCCACCTACATTTTGGGGGGCTTACCTCATGGCTGCTGGTGTCAGTGGTGGGTTGAGTGGCTCTAAGACATGTTGAAGCTACTTTACTGACCTCCCAGGCATAGAGCTACTCACTTTTTCTTGTTATATAACCAAGTTCTAACTACCCAAGCCAACTGGCCCCCAATAATGCAGGGTCAGTGTCGAGGCTGTTAAGAAGAGGGAGATTTATGTGAGCTCCTCTTAAACGTTGCTTCTTTTACTTCCATGGTGTTGACCTTTTAAAAAATCCCACAGACCATGAGATGAAAGTAAAAATAGCCTTTCTTGGCGTTGAATAATTTGACTTTCCTTGACGAAGAGGTCATAGATTTCCTTCTTCAGATGATTTCTTCTTTTTGATTAACTAGCCAAATCTATTGAGGAAAGAGGATTCAACTCTTTGGAGGAAGAAAAATGGAAATGCTTAGGTAAAGGACATCTTTTTTTAAAGCTGCGTCTTTAGGTGACTTCCATTTGATCTTATAGAACCCATAAAGTATAGATCTGTGGGTTGGAATGATAGCAATAGAACTAAACTCTATTTTATGAAAGCAAATAAGATGTACCTAATATGTCTGCTGGTTCTTGGATGTCCTAATAACAAAGAAACTAAGATCAAAAGTCAAGATCCCATGATTCAGTGCTCTGAAGGGTATCTGTGATGTAATGAGAAACAGACTCAGATACAAAAGGATTTTAGTCCATCTCTGTATTTAGTATTTCTTTGACTCTAAACTTTAATTACTCAACTTTAAAAGAGGAATAAAAATAAATGCCTTGCTTGACTATAGCTTAGGTCACATAAAATGGAAGAGAAAGTTCTCTCCAAAGAGTACAGTGATTTTTACTGAAGTACTTTACTAGTCACATAATTAGTAAGGATGAAAGTTTTTTGAAAGCCTGTGCTAATTGAAAGTGTTAGGTACCAGGTCTCATAATTAATTGTCATGCCATATTTAATATACTCATGAGTAACATGATAGCCTACGGGATTATTATACCAACAATTTGGATTCTAGAAAGCCCCTTCTATGTTTGAGTCTAAATAATTTGAGTAACAAATTTGTGTTTTTCAAATGGTAAATTATTACCCATTGGTGCACCGAAAACTAGTTGACCCATTCTAAAGTGTACAGTTTATGAGTTTTGACAAATGCAGAGACCCATGTAACCAAGATAGAGAGTATTTCTATCACCACAGAAAGTTCCCTTGAGACTGTTTATAGTCAGTCCTCTCCTCCAGATCCCAGGCGCTATGGATATCTATTTTGGTCATTAAGAATAGTTTCTCTTGGCCAGGTGCAGTGGCTCATGCCTGTAATCTCAGCATTTCAGGAGACTGAGGCAGGCAGATCATGAGGTCAGGAGTTCAAGACCAGCCTGGCCATTATGGTGAAGCCTCTGTCTCTACTAAAGATATAAAAATTAGCCAGGCATGGTGGCACACCCCTGTAGTTCCAGCTACTCCGGAGGCTGAGGCAGAAGAATTGCTTGAACCCAGAAGGCAGATGTTTCAGTGAGCTGAGATTGTGCTACTGCACTCCAGCCTGGGCAACAGAGTGAGACTCCATCTCAAAAAAAAAAAAAAAAAAAAAAGAGTTTCTCTTATGTGTACAGTTATACAAATGGGATCCTACAGTATATGCTATTTGCATCTTACTTCTTTCACTCATTATAATGTCTGTGAGGTTCATCCATGTGTGTGAATCAGTAGTTCCTTTCTATTGCTGAGTAGTATGTTTTTGTTAGAGTGCACAGAGTTTGTTTATCTAGTCACCTGTTAAGGGCAGGGAATTGTTGCTTCCATCTTTGGGGGGGGATTATGGGTAAAATTGCAATGAATATTTATGTGTAAGACTTTATGAGAACATATGTTTATATTTCTTGGATAAATTCTATGAATGTCTGGGTCTTATGGTTAGTATAAATTTACTTTAATAACAAGCTGCTAAACTGTTTTCCAAAATTTTGCTTTCTTATCTGCAATGTATATGAGCTCCAATTGCTCCACATTGTCTTGTTAGTTTTAAATTTTAGTCCCTCTTGTATGCATTAGTGATATCTCATTATGGA